TTTTTTTTTTGTGGGCACTGGGGATCAAACTCGGGACCTTGCACCTGCAAGGCAGGCACATTGCCACTGAGCTAAATCCCCGGCCCCTGCTTACTCTTAAGGAACAGGGCTTACCAAGCATTTAATGCCTGGACTCAGAGATGAGTGACCTTGCTGCTGCTGGATCCAGGCTGACACCATGGTCTGGCTACCTGGGTGGGTCCCCTGGGGGGCTGCAGATGAAACTGTTGCCAAAGCAGACATTAAGGTTCACAGTCCCTGTCCCTGCCACCACCAGGGCAGCTGAAGAGGGAAAGTTGAGTAGCTGAGTCCCATGCCCCATATCTGAGTCCCACGCCTCTGGCAGTCCTGCGCCCTGACTGAGTTCTTTGTGTCCCCAGGTTTCACCGACCTTAGCAGTGGGATTCCTCCCGAGTGCTCGCTGTCTTCAAAACATAAGTCTATAAGAACCATAAGTGCTGGTATTCATTCACTTCCCATTACGATGTAAATCTTCTGAACTGCCTTTTTTTTTAAGAAGAAAAATAAAAAGAAACACAATCAGGATTCTGTGTGCAAAAACGTGATGGTGACCTGTCCGTGGTCAGATCTGCGGGCGCCACTTCTGGTACCAACACGTGTCCCACCCTCCAGCGGGCCCAGGCTGAAGACCTCTGGGAGGCGGCGTGGTCCTGGTCCTCTCCTTCCAGGCCCAGCAGGCGCGGTGTTCATTCCATCTCTAGCGCAGCCCTTCCTCGTGCGGGACTGGCACTGTCCCCTGCATTCGGAGAAAGCAGAGGCTGTGGGTTTGGCCTGGGACTGACTGTACGGAGCCCAAGATCTGGCTGGCCTTCTGGACTCGACCAAATGCACCAGCTCCAATGAAGTGTCTGGTTTGGGGGTCCCCGAGGCGGGTGATGCGGTGGGGAGGGTGCACTGCTCAGTTGTCCCTGCTGGTCTCAGCATCATCCACATGGGATGGAAATGAGGGGCACTCTTCTGGGCGAGGCTGTGTGGTCCACCACTAGCATGTGGGTAGCTGTGGCAGGCTGGCTCTGGGTGGCTGCTGTCCTCTCTGCCAAGGGTGAGATGGAGAGAAATGTCATATTCTCAGTGCAGATTAATTCACCCACACGAGTTCTGAAAGCCCAGTGTCACAGGTGACACAAACACCACTGCTAAGGACTCCACTGGTGTCCATGCACATGAGCATGAGGACCCTGCAGGGCACAGAAAGGTGGCCAGAAACTCTGCTTGGCTGGTGTTTTTTGATTTTCCTGTGCACCTTGGGCCAGCAGTTGTGTGGTTTGAAAGTTAATGACTTTGGGGTGTGGGGCCAGCGTGTGGTGGCCAGAAACCATTCCTGGAAGCCTGGCTGCCCTGTGATAGGGGCCTGGCCCTCCAGCACCACTCGGTGGCCTTCCATTTGCCTTTCTTTGCCCTGCAAGCTTCTGTGGAGAAGCCCAGAGTTTGACGCATGCCAGGTGGAACATGGCTGCCCCCCACCTTCCCTCTCCGCTTAGCCTGAGAGACTCCTTCCCCTCTCCTCAGGATGCCTGATAAGCGGAGATGTGGCTCCACCCATCCTGTGCTCTGGGGCCCTGGGAAATCAGTGTTGTGTTGACAGAGACACTGAGGGTTGGGGTGCAGTGGGGGAAGGATACCCTAAACCCTAACAGATACCCTGAGGTGGGCTGCGGCGGTCTCATTTTCCTTCCTGACCAGAGGGCCCTTGGCACACCTCTGCCTGGCCTCCTCTGCTGGTTCTGCAGTCACCAGGTCTTTCCGGGTGTTGGCTCACTCTCCACCACACACACCCAGGGCGAGAAAGATGCCGGCCTGGCAACCCTCAAAGAGTCAAGTCCCCACCCAAAACCAGGTGGAGCAAGTTTCTCTTAGGACATGGCACCCAGCGAGGAAGCCCTGGAATGCTCTGCAGGTGTTAACAGCCCCAGGGCAGCTCCAGAGGCAGCGTCCCCAGCCACTGTCACCTCCATCCGGAGCAAGCTGGCTTCTGTCCAGCCCCAGGAGGACACCATTACTAGATTTTTTTAACCTTTGTTGTTTTTTGGGGGTGTTTAATATGAACAGTTCCAGCAGTCAGGAGAGGTATTCAGGGAAAACAGTCGGGATTTTAGCATGGCTGTGAACGCAGCCTTCCCGAAAGGCTTACTGACGTCTGAATGTGCAAATGGTAGAACGGGAGACGTGTGCTCTTTCGTTGAACTTCCCTGGGACAGGTGGGCAGGCACGCCTGTGTGTGTTCCAGGCTGAGGTGCCTGCTGGGCCGGGCCAGGCCTCAGGACTGCACTTCCCCTACCCCACAGCTGAGCAGCAGGTGGTACTGGAGCCCTGGGGTGACAGCCTGGTTTCCCCACACCTGGACTTCCCCCAAGCTGGGCCGAGTTCTGCTCTGGGCCCTCGGATTCCCTGGGAATAGAAGGCCCAAAGGGATCTCCCTGCAGCCAGCCTCCAGCCAGCTCATGTGCCCCTGCCCTGGGCGTGCAGCCCACTCTGTGCATGCAGAGATGGGGGGCACTGTCTGCTTCTCTTCCTGCAGGGCACCCTTTTCAGAAGTCACTGCTCAGAGTTAAGGGTTCACCTCCCATGTCCCAGGAAGGCCTTCAGGACTGGCTAGTTCAAGCCCATTTCTAGCGGTTCTTCCTTTGGTTCAGCACTCTCTGTGCTCTGCAGGGTGAGGCCTCTGCCATCTGTTTCTTAAAACCGAGGTCTTTAGAAAGATCTCTCTCATTTCTTTTTACCACATTGTTGTGACAACGGAAGCAACTTGTGTCGTTTTCCAAGATGACAAACTGATATTAATTGGGGCAGGGGGAAAAAATAGATGGGCTAGATGACTTAAAATGCATCCTTTTTATGAAAACCCTGCATTTTTCAAGCTGGGTTATTTTGAGTCTATACATTCCCAACTAAGTGCTTTATTGATGAATTAGGAGGAGAGGACAAATTTGAAATCATGTTTCCCTCTCAGAATAAGACGTTGAGCCAACCTCACAACGTCCCCATCTCAGTGACAGAAGAGACTGCAGTTGGCCTGCTCACCTTTTCAGAGTTCCTGGTCACTTCATCCCAAAGCCCTGTAAAACTTGTAAAACTTTAGCCTTTCTGTCAGATTAGAGAAACCAAACAATGATGGTCAATGTGGTGAAAAGTTCTCTGAGTCCATTTTCCTCCTGCTTACAAACATGTTTATCTTTTGCCGAATGAAAAATCGTGGTATGCTGCTTCCATGAATGGAATTTCAGGCTCTCCCCGTGCACAGCTGGGGGGCAGAGGTTACCTTCAAGGACTTCTTGCCATCTGTCTGTTAATCCCCAAACCAGTTGCTTTTTGCAGTTGCTTCCTGGGTGTCTGTACATAGTTTGTCTTTGTATAGGAGTGAGTGGGTATGGTGGCTGTCAATCCTGCGCACTCCCGAGTTCTAATTTATCAGATGACGGCTGTATGAGGAAGACGATGTACATAGAACACAAATTAAACTGGATCTCTATGGCCTAGGTTTTGTACATACAGAAACTGCATGGTATTTAAATTATTGTTTGTCTCTGATGATGTATGCAGTTTCTTTAAAAACAAACAAAAAAAAAGTCTAAAAAAAAAGCCTTGACTCTTGTGTGTTTTATCATCCACCATTAAAAACCCCCAAAAGATTAGTTGGGCTGGGTAAGGGGCCTTTAGGGAAGGAAGATGTCAGCTCAGCAACAAAATAGCACCAGTCAGGCAAGAGACAGGGCTATCTCAAGTATCTGGTGATATGGAGGGATAGGAAGCACCGTGGCACATAAATTACTTTCTGGAAGACCTTTGCATACTAAGAGTTTACTCCTTAACATTTAGAATACCTAAAATGTTTTGTCCAACCTTTATCTTCAGGGAGTCTGGGAATAATTTAATATAAATTAACCTGCGTTCAGTCACTTGGGGTCAGTCCAGCAGTGTTAGATTCCCGGCAGCCTGACAGCCACACATCCTGGGGTGACTTTGGGGTGTCATGGTCCCTAAACAAAAGCCCTAGAATGCTTTCCTTGAGTACAGTCATCTCTGTATCCATGGGCTCAACCAACCATAGATCAAAAATATTCGGGAAAAAATTGCATCGCTACTGAACATGTGCACATTTTTTTCTTTGTCATTATTCCTAAACAATACAGCATGATAACTTGACACCACATTTGCTTTACGTTAGGGTTTATAAGTGTGGAGAGATGGTTTAAAATACACAGGAGGATTGGGTAGGTTTTGTGCACATGCTGCCCATTTTACACAAGGAATTTGTGCCCTTTTGGGTTTGGGTAGGGAGGGCGTGGTCCTGGACCCAAACCCCAAGTCCAAACAACTGTGCTTTAGTTTCCTTCTTGACAAGCCCACAAAGCCAAGAGCTTTTGTACATAACCCCTGCTACTGTGGGGCTTGGGCGGAAGCGGGTGGCTGTGTGAGGTGCACAGTTGCTGTCCTAGCAGCGGGGAGGAGCTCCGGGGAAAAGGAGCCCAGCAGGGGCTGCTCACAGGTGAGCTTGCACCCATGGCTCACCTGGCTCTTATTAAGCTACAGGTGCCCACGGACCGGGCTGGGCGGGGCCTGGCATCTGCACATAACGAGCCCGCCCTTCTGAGTCGCAGGGGCTCGGGTGTGCTTGTGCCCGGCCCGGGCCTCTGAGTCACACCGCACACTGCCTGCTTCTCGCGGGGGAACCCCGGAGTCCCGCAGCTGTGACACCAGTGTCCGAGCTCCAGGCTTCCACTGCGCAGGCCTGACCGCCGAGCAGGGGTCGCCCCGGAAGGAGAGGTGAGTGACTTCCAGGAAGGCTTCAGCGCCTGGCCTAGTGTCTCTCTCAGCTCGCGCCTTTTGTCACTGCCGAGTTTCCTGGTTCTTAATATGCAGGAACTGACTGAATTTCCTGAAAAGGCCAGGGAGGACAAGCTTTAGCAAGTATGGCAACACACTCCTGTTCTGGGAGGCTGAGGAAGGAGGATTTGAAGTTCAAACCCAGCCTGGGCAATATAGACACTTAGAACCTGTTTCCAAAAAAAAAATTTTTTTTAAAGGGGTGGGCATGTAGCTCAGTGTGAAGGTCCTGGGTTCAATCCTCAGTACCACAAAAACAAAACAAAAATTTGAGAGTGCTCCCAACAGGCTCTGTCTACCAAGAGGGAAGGAAAATGGCCTGAAAAGCACAAAGGTTGTGGGCTACGCATTTCAACAGGCGGAGGTGACTGACCATGGTGGCCCATGATGTATCAACTTATACCACACAGCAGTAGTGACTGCCACTGCACCACACCCAGAAATTTGGGCCATGCCATTTACTTTATGCAGTCCTCGGTTTCCTCATCTAGAAAGTAGGGGCACTGAAGTAAATGTCAGAGTGTCAGCTCAGAGGATACAGGAATTCTCACAACACTGAGCCCTTGGGAAAGAAGCTTTAAACTGCGAGCACCTGCAAACACCCTACAGGTCACTGTCCCTGCCTGTGTGGTGGCCCTATGGGGGCCTCTCCCTCCCAGTGTCCCAGGAGTTCTCATCCTGAAGCCACTGTCACCAGATGAGCCAGCGCCCTTCTGCCTCCCTGCCCCCTGGGCCAGGCCCCTTGGGACAAGGGAGCTCTGCCCAGTGATGCTGAGGCACAGCCCCCCGCCATGGCACCCGCGTTCTCATACTGTCAGTTACCTGGTTGTTCCCCAGAGGATAAGCTAGATGCTGCAGACGCATCCTGCCGAGTCTGTGAGGGTCCCCAGGGTTCCCCCTCGTCTCCCTTTACATGTCCCTCTCTGCAGCTGTAGCTCAGCCCTGAACCCCAAACCCAGTCTTCACAGTGTCTCTGAGCTCAGAGGGCCTGGGGGCAGATCCCGGCCCCATCCCTTCATCGCTGTGTAAATTTGGGCGAGTTACTCAATCTCTCTCTGCTTCTGCTTTCTCATCTGTAAAATGACAGTGCCTTTTTATAGGGAGTATTGTGAGGGTTAAATAAAATAATACATGTGAGGTGCCTGCAGCGGTGTCTGGCACACTCAGGCCTGGTTCTATGTTGGCTCTTTCCCTTGACATCGGGTCCCAGCAGCATCTCATATTTGGTGGCCCCTGACTATTCATTTTGTATTTTCAAGCTCAGTCTCTCTTCCCCATCCTCTTTTGTCCCTTTTTCAGTGAATGGAATTACCCAGATGTCACTTTCTCCTTCCTGCAGGTCTGGTATTCCTGCCAGTTAGTCTGAGAAGTGAATCTTCCCAGACAGCCGCACTGTCTGAGGGCCCATTAAGGCCTTCAGCTCCCACCTGGGGATGGCAGCCACCTGGCCTGTGGCCTCAGCACATCCAACCCCACTGCCGGAGTCATCTGTCCAAACCCAGACCTGCCTGCCTGTCACTGTGGCATGGCATCTTCAGCAGCCACACTGTAATTCTGATACCATTTCATTTCTGCAGCACAGCATCCTTAGTGACAATGAGACAATTGCCCTCTTTCCTTCCCTGAGCTGTCCTCTACACAGGGGTCCCCAAGCAAGCCCTCTGGTATACTTACAACAGGAGCTATTGATGTGGCCATGTCATGGGGGTCACCTTGGGGACAACCAGGGGTTAACGGGGGGGTTTGGAGACCAAGCACCCATGGAGTCGAAGAGATGTCCCACTTAGCTGATCCCAGAACTCCAGTGAGGAGCCAGATACTCATGCAACCCACCCAAAACGCAGTACATGGTAGTAGTCTTCTCTGACATCTGACACCCCAGATTTCTGCCTGGATACTTGGTTCCTATCAACACCATTACTAGCAGCTCCCACACTGTGCCACACTGCCTTTTCAGATTCACTTAACTCTGAACACCTTGGTTACTGATAACTGATCCCCAAGCATCAACCTGGGGAAGACACACGATGGTTAAAACCCAAGCCTGTCTGATGCCTGGGCAGCATCCTCAGCCACCCCAGTGGCCCAGTCATGCATTGCTTTGCCTCCACTTTGCAGAGCTCATCCTTTCTCAGCATCCATCCAGTTACCCCAGTGGCTTCTCCTTAATGATAACACCATCCTGTGACACCGAGTTTCAGGGATCAGGCAAGATACCCAAGGTTTCCAAGCCTCCTGCCTCTGCCCTTGAATGCACTGCCCAAAGGTGGCTGAGCCGAGTCTCTACCAGCAGGCACCTCCTGCAGGCACCTGAATGTCAGCCAATATTTACGATTCCTGCCAGTGAAATAATGCTGAGCTAGGCCCTAGCACTCCATGGGTCCCACCTAGAGTCATAGCAAAGGCAGGAGGGAAACAGCAAGCTATGTAATGACAGAAGAGGAACACATCAGGCATTTAATCAATCACACCCGAGCATTCAGTCCCTTTCCTAGAAGCTGTTTTCTGGTAAAAGGGGTTCTGCCCTTAATCACAAAAGGCAATGATCTCTCAGTATTTCTGAGGGTGTCAGCCCATGTGAGGGCAAAGGGCCCTTATTAAATGAACTAATGAGTTGGCAGAAGAGTATTGCAAGAGTACGGAATGCCAAAAGCAGAATTTAGTAGTCCATCTTCCAGACTCTGACTAATTAAGCTGCACCCTGTACAGAGAGCAATCCCAGACCCCACATCTCTTCCTCATTCATATAAATTGAGACTTCTGTGTCACACGGTCTCCTAGGAATGGCGTTTCCTGCTGGGTGTTATCATTGCTGCTGCTGTTCCTTTGATAAACACAAGAAACAGAAATGGTGGCAGAGAGGGAGGATGAGGCTGTTTGCTCCTCCCTGACCACACTGGATTAGGATGTTGACAACCCCTCTTGTCCAGTAGGTCTGGGGTCCATGAGAGGATGTATTTCCAGGTGTGGGTATTCAGAGCCCCCACCCAGAAGAGGACACACAGACCGCAGGAACATGGGTGGAAACTGAGCCTATTGTCTCAGAAAGCACCAGCACCAGTAGACCCAGGTAGGGCAAAGGCTTTGATCCCATGCAGCACCCCACAGCCAGTCCCCGGTTTCTGGGGGAGGAGGGAGAGCTATACCATAGTGAGAACACATGTGGGCTCTCTGCTCAACCCGAGTGTCCCAGAAGGCTCAGTCAGTCGGCTCAAGTATACTGGGTTACAAGGCCCTGGGCTTCAAACAGCAAAAGTACCATGGACAAGAGGTTGGCCTTCTTCCAACTCTGCACAGGTGCTGGGACACTTTTCCAAGCCACCATTAAAATGCCAGCTGTCACCTCTGCCAGCCAGAGCTCGTGCCCTCTCCCCTTTTCTCAACCTCTGTCCTCTTATGACAACAACAGCCCCTTGTTCCCTTTAACTCTCTGGGTTTCCCTCCATTCTGTCTCGCTGGCTGATGACGACAACCCCAAAGCAGGCAGGACAAACCCCTTCTTTCTTCCTAGAAAAGTACACTAAATAGTTTGCTCTCTTTGGGGCCAACAGGAGTAGAAGGGAGCTTGGGGCTGAGAAAGTCACTGGTCACTGAACCCTTGTAGCCTGGTTACCTTTTATCCCTATTTGCACATATTCCTTTCCTGTTAAAAAATAAGTTACGATTACTAAAAAAAAAAAAAAAAAAAGGAGTCCTGAAAGTACACACAGTGCTGGCTGCC